AGGGGAGCGGGACGGCTCCTCGGCGGCGGTCGGGCCGGTAGTCCTTGGAGTATTTTCCGTGCTGTGGCGGGCGGAGCGAATCGAAAGGAACGGACATATGTCAATTCATCGCCGCGGTAGACTCCTCAGTGCATTGTTTTGGGGTAATGACGGGAAGCGTAGGAACCCCAATGACCTCAGTTTTTTCTCTCCTGTCTCTTCTATTGTCAACAAAGGCGGAAATTTAATCCGTTTACATCAGATTTCGAAGTAACTTTCATTGCAGATAGTTTCAGCGATTATTTCCTCGATTTTTCTAAGCGTTGATCAAGCTCTACAACTTTCGTAGTTATTTAGATTTCTTTGCGATCGCAGTGGCAGTTTCAATTCTTAAAAATAATGTACGTGCTCACATAGGTTACGTTGTCGTTGGCTGAGAACTTAAAATTTTGGCAGATTGGGTGTGGAGGAAGTCGTGAGACCCTGGGGCTGAAGCGAGGATGGGCGTGGCTAGAGTTGCTCTGCGCAGACTTCGACGTGGAGCCTAAGGAGAAGTTTGCATTTTAGGTGTACGTAGATGAGGTGGCCCCTTTCTAATCCAGGACCTCGTGCATCCGAGCTGTTCTTTGATAACGAAACAAAGTGTTTTAAAGGCTGTCCTGAGACTGCTGCTAAGGTTTTCATCGCTGCAGACATTAAATGAAGTCCGTGTTGCCTGTAGACCGAGGAGCACCGTGTGCGCAGGAGTGCGTCCTCCGTGCTCTTTTGCGCGGATCCCACGTTACTGATTGGGGGACGGTCACAGGAACCATTTTCTGGTCTGACACCACTTTTTTCTTCTCTTTAGCGAATGAGAAATCACAAACTTTTCTGCTACTTAGAGAGAATTTTGCTGCTGTACTGATTTATAAATGGGATTCAAACATGAAGTTACCATAGCTGGGTGTGGTGGCGCACGCCTGTAATTCCAGCACCGGGGGACGGGCTGAGGCAGGGGGGCGCGTTGTGAGTTCAAGGCCAACCTGGGCTACAAAGTGAGTTTAAGACCAGCCTGAACTGCATAGTGAGACCTTGTCTCAAAAACACCAAAAGAAAAAAAAAAAAAAGTTACCATAGTAATTGGCTTGTTGGTTTAGTAACTTATAGTGAGAAATAGTCCTGTCAGTATTATTTCATCCTGACTTGAAACTGAGTGCAAGAATTAAAACCCAGGTGGTGTGACTGTGGAGTAACCAAGATGATTTTCTGCACCAGTCATGGTGCACCATTCACACCAGTGCCCTGAGCATATGTATTTTAGAGCTGGGGGGCACAAAGGGGCTCCTGCTCCTTAGACTACTGTCCCAGTGCTTCCTGCAGTCACCCCTGATTGGTAGCAGCAGGGAGAGTAGTGCTACCCTTTTATTTTCTTGTTCTGCTGATAAATTCCATAGGCCATACTGGCCAAAACAAGGTTGGCCTTGGCTAGGGTATATTTTATTTTTGGTTTATTGCTTTTTTATGCCCTACTTTGTCCCCCAAAGACTTCTGAAAATACATATTGTCTGAGGGGGGTATGTAGAGGACGGGAAGAATAATAAGAAGTAGTAAAGAGAAAAATTAATTTATAGAATGCAGGGCTTAAGGTCCTACAGAATTACGGAATGAGGACTGTAGCTTTAGTTCTCAGCTTCAGGTAGAGAGAAGAACAGACACAAGATTCCTAACATTCCTAAAATTAAAGTATGTCAGTTGCTCTGAGAAGTTTTTTTAATGGTACTGAAATGGGACGCAAACTTTTCCCATTCTGTTTAAGTGTTTCTGTACAAGAAAGACAAGGGACGGAGATCCTGGCAGGACAGCATGGCTCAGTTCAGTAGCAGTACTAAAAGTTGAGCAGCTGTGCGGGGTGCTTACTGAAAGATTTTAATAGCAGGGGATATTATGCTGTAATGTGGGTTGAAGCTTCTTTCAGAAGGAGCGCTGTGTAGTACCCGTTCAAGGAGGCTGCTCAGGCAGTCCTGGTTGATGTTGGGACCCAGCCACTTTGTACTGTCGTGAGGATACATTAAAGTCGCCTTGTTGGTGCTTTTGCCTGTATCTAGCAATTGTTTGCTAAACATTTCTTAATCAATGCAGCTTATATTTTAGGCCCTGTACCAGATAGTGGAATTGCAAGGAACAATGATAAGCTCTGATCCTTAAGGGTCATGGGTCAAATGAAGATTTATGAATCTGCAGATACCCGAGATTGTCCCATATATAGAATTGGACGGCTAATCGCATCCACTGTGCTGAGAAAATCTTGTTATTTAAAAGTAAAAGTAATATATTTGCTACTAGTAGAAAATTTAGCAAATACAATATTAGTAAATATAGTAATTAAAATGTAAAAATCACTATCGACTAGGGATAATCATTTTACATTTGGTTGAATACTCTAAGTTTTTTCTTCTGCAAATCCATTTCATTAAAAAAATTAAAACAGTTATCTTGAGAATGATGTCTCTGCTTCAATTTTAAGTGTCTTACTGTCGGTTGGTATATGTTTCAGGCAGTCAAAATAATACTGTCTCTGTTCTGTGTAGAAATAACAATTATTTCATAGTTGACCATAGTCTTTTTCGGTAGTATCGCTTGTGGCCACTTGAGGTTTGTTATTGTGACTCTCCCTTCTAATTGTTAGATGTGCTGGTACAGATCAGTGGTCAGATGTGTTATGATTTCATCGTCCTCAGCTCTTTCTTAATTGGACACTTGTCTTCTCCTGAACCAGGGCAGCTGCTTAGTTGTACCTGTAGAGCATTTATGTTGTCTTCAGTCACGGTTAGGACCTACATACATCAGTTAGGATGACCCTAGCTGTTTTGTTCTCACAAAGGCTATTTTATTTACTTATGATTTTATTTTTTATTAGTACATGCTTGCAGTACATAGTTTTCATTTATCATGGGGTGTTTGTACATGTGCCTAACACAGTTTCATTCTTTTTTGTCCCCTTCCTCCCAACCCTTCCTGCGCCTTCCAATTCTTGTTCCCCTTCTCACTTGAAAAAGCTCTATTTCCATTTTTTTCTTTGATTCTTTTAAAATCCCTTTTCCCTTCCTTCCCTCCCCTCTCCCTCCGTTTCCTTTCCTATTTGAAAAAGATCTCCTACTTCCTATTACCTACTCTTTATTTTACTCTTATTTGTATTTTGGGTTTCTTATATAAGAGATACAAGAGAAACCCATGCAATATTTAAATTTGTGTACCTGATTTCACTTGACATTGTGGTCTCGAGGTGCATCCATTTTCCTACAAATACCTCAAGTTTATCATTCTTTATATCTGAGTAGTACTCCTTTGGGATACATACCAAATTTTATCTGTTCATCTGAACATATAGGCGGTGTCCAAAATCTAGCTAGTATAAACTGTGCTACCGTAAATATGGGTGTGTGCATGCCTCACTATAATATTACTTTAGCTCTTTTGGGACGATTTTTAGAAGGGGAGTATCTGGGTCAAATGGAATTGCTATTTAAAATTTTTTTTAAAAAAGAGTTTTGTTACATGGTTCAGGCTGGCTTTGAACTCACTATATAGTCTAGGCTGGCTTTCAACTCTCTGTGACCGATTCTCCTGCCTTAGCCTGTTGACTCCTGGGATTACAAGCGTGCAAAACCATGCCTAACAGCTATTTTTAGTTTTTTGAGGACTGTCCATAGTGGTTGTATGAGTTTACATTTCTGTAGTGTATGTAAGAGGGGTCCCCCTCCTCCCAGCCTCACCAGCATTTGTTATTAGGTTATCACGTTTCTTTTTGATGGTCATTCTTTCTGGAGTAAGGTGTTATCTCAGTGTTGTTTTAATTTGCATTTCTCTAATAGCCAGCGATGTTGAACATTTTTTCATGTATTTATTGGCCATCTATGTTTACTCTGAGAAATGTCTATTCATGTATGTCACACATTTTTTGATTGGATCTTTTATTTTGGGGGGTGTCTGATTTTTTTGAGTTCTTTATACAGGGTCTTCCAAAAATATATACACACTTCAGGAAAAGAAAAACTTGTACAAATTTAATACTACATTTATTGAGATATCATGAGATTAATAGAAGTTACCTTTGGCCTCTACAATTACAAGAGCTATTCAAAGTAGTAGCCATTAATTTCCAGACATTTATTAGTACAGTGAACTGCTGCTTGGGTATCCTTGGTCACTGAGATTGTTGCACCTGCATTTTCAATTTCTTCACTAAGGGACAGCAGTACAGTGGGTTTTCTGTGATATAACTATATCCTCTAGGATCCCCCATGCGAGGGTAACACCATTTGTTGAAAGAACTATGTACTAGTTTTCTTTTTCTGAAGTACATATACATGTTAGTCCTTCAAGGAATAGCTGTCAAAATATTTTTCTCATTCTGTTGTCTCTTCACTCTGTTGGTTGTTTCCTTTGCTGTACAGAAACTTTTTATTTGCTGTGATCCCATTTGTTAATTCTTGGTATTAATTCTTGTGCCACTGGGGTTCCTTCAGAAAGCTCTTACCTATGCCTGTGTTTTCAAGTGTTTCACCTATTTTATCTTACAGCAGGTTAAGTATTTATATTTTAACATTTAGATCTTTGATCCATTTTGATTTTAGCTTAATATGTGATGTGATACATGAATACTGACTCAATCTTCTGCATGTGGATAGCCAGTTTTCCCAGCACCAGTTTTTAAAGAGGCTATTTTTCCTCCAGTGTATGTTTTTGGCTACTTTGTTTAAAGATCAAGTAGTTCAATGTGTCTGGGGTTGTTTCTGCTTCTTCTGTCCTATTTCATTGATCTGCTTGTCTGTTTTTATGCCAGTACCATGCTGTTTTTATCATTATAGCTTTGTAATATAACTCCACATCTGGGATTGTGGTTCCTGATGCTTTGCTATGGTTACCCAGAATTTCTTTTGCTATTCTGTGTCTCTTCTTGATTTGTATGACTTTTTGGACTATTTTCTTTAGATCTGTGAGGAGTGGTCTTGGTATTTTGTTTGGGATTGTGTTAAATATATATATGAGTTTGGGAAATATTGCCATTTTTACTATAGTGGTTCTGCCTATACAGGAATGCTATTGATTTTTGTGCGTTGACTTTATGTCCTGATAAACTAACTGAATTTGGTTACTAATTCCAGGAATCTTTTGATGGAGTTTT